AGGCTTTCTTTTCACAGGAGCCACAGGAGCCAGGGTCATGTGCAGTGAGGATGTAACACTATTAACAAGAAAATGGGACTCTGTGGAAGTAGAGTTTAGGTCCTGTAGCTGCTCTGCACTGTGTTGACACATGGCATTGAATAAGATAACAGTGGAGGAATTATAACCTTATATAATAATTCATTATTATCAGGATGTCCTAAAAACTCCCTGAAAAGCCTTCAGTTAATCCAAAATGCTGCAGCAAGAGTCCTGACAGGGACTAGAAAGAGAGAGCAGATTTCTCCTGTTTTGGCTTCCTGTTAAATCCAGAATTCAAAATCCTGCTCCTCACATACAAGGTCTTAAATAATCAGGCCCCATCTTATCTTAATGACCTTGTAGTACCATATCACCCTATTAGAGCACTTCGCTCTCGCTCTGCAGGCCTACTTGTTGTTCCTAGAGTATTTAAAAGTAGAATGGGAGGCAGAGCCTTCAGTTTTCAGGCCCCTCTTCTGTGGAACCAGCTTCCAGTTTGGATTCGGGAGACAGACACTATCTCTACTTTTAAGATTAGGCTTCAAACTTTCCTTTTTGCTAAAGCATATAGTTAGGGCTGGACCAGGTGACCCTGAATCCTCCCTTAGTGATGCTGCATTTTGTTACAATTTTACAACATGATATAAATGTAGTTTTCGATCTAATGTTTTCGAGGCTGCTTATTGACTCTTTCATTGACTGTTACATGACACTTGAGACTCTATAAGACAGTAAAGCCTGCACGAGTAAGAACGTCCTCTCCACCACAACCTCAGCCTCTCTGACATGTTGGTCACTGTCTGTCTTACGTTTCTAACAGACCGGTCAGGGCATAGTGTGTTAAAGTTATACTCAAAGTTATATTTTAAAGTTAATTCAAGTGTCACAATCTAAAGCAAAGATCTCATTTTAGTTCAAGATGATTCCAACTCAAATATCAAACCCGAGTTTGTCTGCGACGCAGAGTAACAGAGGAATGTTCTGGTCTGGATGCTCCCTGATAATTCACTGGAGAACATTTACATAAAAATAAAAGGTCAAAGGTCATCCATGTGTGATTGGTGGCTGTGATTTCTCCTTTTTTGCCAACATTCAGTTCATGTTTTAGACGTTATTCCTTCTGAAATCCATGTTGTAATGTTTCTAATAGTCTTCGTTTTAACAAAAAAAATAAATACATTGGAGATGCTAATTACTCATTTAAAGCTACGGTAATGCTAAGTGAATGAATACTATACAGCATGAATACAACATGTACAAAGATGAAGTCTGCAAGTTCAGCTTTGCTCCTGACGTCAACTATTTGTTGGGATTTGTTCTGACATGGTTTGAATCCACTGAAGAGAGATAAAATATCTGTGACAGACCTGCACAGTAACACACATCTAACATGCAACCGTCTTAAGATGAGGACGTACCGATGCGCAGCATGAAATTGTTGAATGATTGGTAGTTGATGTTCATAAGTGTAACCTTCATGGCCAGCGCAAAGTCTGCGAGGTCTGCCAGGTGCTGCCAGCGCTCGGAGTCCGACAGCTCTTCCTTCTGTCAGACAAAAAGCAAACAGGATTTTTACTTGGTTAAATGTTTCACTTATAAACTGCTCTTTACTGTATTATAAATCTGCATTATTGATTTGGGTTCTTCTGTGTAAAAACAACCAAGCAGATTGCAGGATAACTGGGAGTGAGCGTCTTTTTTCCTGGTGACGAACTGTGAACCACCAAGCAGTTCAGTCACGTGTGTCCACTTTCTTAGGCTATTAAATTCAGATGTTAATTTTTCTCTGTTGTGCATGCCTGCTTGTATTTATAATGATATTCATTAACAGTAATGCTTGTATAAGCCTCTCACCTCAGCATTAAACTATCACTAACTCGTTCTGTAAGCGCCTTACTCTCACCTAAACTCGCCGAACTCGAAAATAAAACCGTTGAACCTTAAAACGAGGCTTTCAACGGGAAAATAAAAGGTCACATCTCTGTGTGGGATTGGTCAAATCACCTTATAATGTGACCTGATTTGACCAGCCAAATGGCCTAAACTAAAGCATTGAATCCTAAAACAAGGATTTCAATGGGTGCAAATAAAATGGTGTTCTTATGTTTATTGTGTCCAACTCCAGGCCTCGAGGGCCGGTGTCCTGCAGGGTTTAGACGTATCCTTGATCCAACACAGCTGATCTAAATGGCTAGACGACCTCCTCAACATGTCCTGAAGTTCTTCAGAGGCCTGGTAATGAACTCATCATGTGACTCAGGTGTGCTGACCCAGGGTGATATCTAACACCTGCAGGACACCGGCCCTCGAGGCCTGGAGTTGGACACCCCTGATGTAAATACTGACTCGCTACTCTACATATATGTAGAAAGCCTTAGCTCATTTAAACTTTGTAGCTCCGGTGGTAGAGCAGGTCACCTACTTATCAGAAGGATGATGGTTTGATGCCAATCTGCTCCAGTCTGCATGACTAATATCCTTGGAAAAGCTACTGAGCCCAGTTTGGAGTGTGAATGAGTGTGAATGAGGCGAGTTGTGTAAAGTGCTGTGTTGATCAGTTGCAGTAGAAGCGCAACAGAAGAACGGATCAGTTTACGATTATGTTTACATCCCTGGACCTCTCCACTGCAAACACCAACCTCTGGTGAAGCTGACGTCGATTTTTCTCTCAAGATGACCAAACTGTTGATCTGATAAATTATTGCCAAAAGTCAGAATGTCGACACTGACTGTGGCTGTAGCTCAGGAGGTACAGGAAGGTTGGTGGTTCGATCCCTGGCTCCTCCAGTCTGCATGTCAAGTATCCTTAGGCAAGATAGTAACCCAGAGTTTCTCCGATACATCCATCGGAGTGTGACTGTGTGTGAATGTAGTTAGATAAGCATAAAGAAAGTGCTTTTGTGGGTGAATGTGGCGAGTTGTGTAGAGCGCTTTGAGTACTCGGGAGAGTAGAAGAGCGCTATAGAAGAATCAGTCCTTTTACCGTTACTAAGTCCCACTAGTTTGTGCCTCGGGACAGCCATGTGGTCTGTGACAGCATGCGACTGTGTTCTGGAAAGATTAGACTGGAAAACACAGCAGCACACAAACGCAGTCTGTGCTCTAACGCGACCGTGTCGACTAAAGCTTGTTTATCCAAAGTGAAAATACAATAAAGCATCGAAAGCCTCAATATCAAACCTGAGGGACTTAATAATGTTGTCACCACAATAAGGCACATCAAACATATCATCTATTAGCACTCAACACATCATTTAACTCTCCATTATGCTCAGTGCACAGTCAGCAATCTTCCATTATTATAGCCTTAATTAGAACATAGGTTACATTTGTCTTATTCAGCTTTTATGTTTAAGTATAATCCTTGTCGAGTGAGGTGGTTTCTTCCTTAATTGTTCAATTTAAATATTTCTTTACATTCATAGCTTTAAATGAGTAAATCAGATAGATTGTCATTACATTTGTTGTCAAACGAACTTAGAATCTGCAACATTTCACTGATTGTTTATTAAGACTTCAGAAAAATCGATGTTACCATGGAAATAACTGAGTTACAGGCTCAGCTGTGTCCTCTGCACTACAGTAAACTGTACCTGGATCCAGATCATCTTAGTCAAATGAATATTTCCACACAGAGAGAGTTGCACCAAACCTGCAGCAGATCTAAATCTATTCACACTAACACATGTTGGCTCTGTCAGCCATGACACACACTGAAGCTGAAGAAGTCATGTGACCATACTGACCTTGATGGAGTTGTAGCCGTTGCTGACGTCCGGGGTGACACCTGACGCTGCCATGTATGTGCTGCCAATAGTCTTGATTTTTGTAATGCAGCGAAACTGCGGCTCATCCAGCAGCTGACATGGAGACAAGCGGGAGGTTGTGTTTACATATACTGACAATGGAAGCACAGACAAACATGCTGCAACCGTTTTTAAAAAGCGCTGCACCCTGGCCATCTGAGCAACTTACATTTCAACTTCATCTCACCACAAAACGGACACATCGAGGTGTTTGTAACTGTTGACAATATTACTATACCGTCAGGAGTTTTGTTTTTGTGACTTTTTCATCCACGACTCTTTCTAGTGCACGAAGCTGGAGTCACTGCAGAACGTCAGCTCACAGATATCTGAGAT